AGCGAAACTATTGCTTTTCGAAAAAATTTACAATGATTTTGCTCAGGAAGAATAGTCTATAAAGTAAGAAGATTCCAACATATAACACTAATGATGTGCTGAATATATTTAAGTAAGAATAAATACTAAGCCCTCCAAAATTTTATATTCACTCCATGGTTACCAAAATTATACAGTTATTCAGAAATCTCCAATGAAATTTCCTGACAAACTGCAATTCTCGAAAACCATTCATTCGTTTTCCATTAAGTTAAAGCAATCAAGTGTTTACATTTTCACTGTCGTCACTGAGTTCCACTTTTTCACTAGTTCGCAAAGCTTCCGTAATTAATACAATATTATCGGTGAGTGTACGAACACGCGGGAAACTAGCTATTAATGCTAACGATAAGAAACCATTTTTATCCATTTTCCTTCGTAAATAAAAGTCTTTCTGGAGATTCTCCGGTGACAGGTAATATTCTCTGAAATAACAATTCTCCGTCGTGCATAAAATGTATAATGGAATCCTTCAACATAAAATTTCACTAATAGTGCATTGGAAAATTATTTGTATAGTTGTTTCGCAAAAGAAAATGTAAAGAGTTGGAAAAGAATCATCTGATCCATACAAGCTAAAAATACTATTGTTTTCAGTTTTTGGAAAAAGGATACGGAACAATAATAAACTTACATTTGTTTTCTAACATATTCTTTCAAAGTTTCACCGGTGATCGGTGCTTGAGGTGATATGGGTGGATAGGCGGCATGGTAAGGAACGCTCATGGGGCCTACTGCTGATCCAGGGATGAACTCACCTTTGCTTGTGAGAACAGCACTGCCAGGTGAAAGTAAAGCAGTTGGTGTTGGTGGGACGGTGTTAGATGTAAGTGATGATGCAACACTATCCGAACGTGACTCACCTACGGTTGCAGCTGCAGCTGCTACCGTAGGTGGTGGTTGAGAAAGCAAATGAGGGTTAAATGGAGAAATGTGTGAATGACGGAACGTTAAGGCAGCCATTTGTTGGTGTGCCTGGAACATAATATTCGCAGTGGGAAATGCTGCCGCCAATGCAGGATCCAAACACGTCGAACTGGGGTCGAATGGAGGTATCGTGGACACAGCATAGAACTGGGCATATTGAGATTCCATCAGTTCCATATAATCGAAGTTATCATCATCTCCCGCACATTCGTCCCAGTCTGGCAAAGGCCCACGTGCTCGTCTTTGTGCCGCAGTTAATTTAGGTGGTGCTTGTGGATGTGACCCGCGTGGTTGCCACTTGTCATTACGTGAAAAAAATGTTTTGTTACGATCCATCGTATCATCTATTCCAATATTACTGGCAGCGCTTCCGCGCTCATAATGAAGCGGCTGTTGCTGCTGCTGACGACGTACAGCATCGGCTGCTGAGCCACCATTTTTGTGCCAATAATCCACTCCACTTATACGATTTCCAATTATTGGTGCACGCATAAATTGTGATTGTCCAAAATATGGTCGATGGCGATTTCCACCATTTTGAAGTGCTGCTGTTGCTGCCGACGTAGTAGCCCATTGTTGTTGGGTAATCCCATTTGGTGCTGCAGCTGCCATTGCCGTTGTTTCGTCACGTTTATTGTACCTGCAAATATAGGGTTATAATCATTTAGATATTATTTTAACATATTTATTATAAAAATAAAACGATAATTTCAGCTGCTTATTTTCAAAATAGTCAAATTTATCACAAGGCAGTAACAGTGATTCCAACAAATGAGTCATTTACGTCAGAGTACAAAAGCATGAATGAAGAGCAAGAATGCTGCTTATCAAAAAGTGAACAAAAGAAGGGCGCGGTGAAAAACAGAAAAGTTGTAAAACAAGAAAAATGTATATCGATAACTTACAATGTAAAAAAAATTATGCAGCAATTTATATTATTGTCTGGATGATTCCTTTTATGTTCGTTTTGGATATTAAAAAAAGTTCAGAATATTTTTGGATGTTGTCACTGATGCAATCTTCGAATGGATAAAAGAGTAAAATAAAAATAAAGTGTCATAAGAGAACAGAAGAAAAAAAATGAAAAGGAATTAAGTTGAACAAAATGCAGAACATAAGTATCTACACCAACATCTGAAGGGAGGAAATATGAAATCTAAAATTACAATAACTGAAGAAGTACCAATACTAGGAGAGGAAATCATCCGCAATGATGGTCCCACAGGAACTTTATTAACAAAATCTCATGGGCCGGTTCTCCACGAGGCTTTTTTCTTCTGAATCAACAGACCGTTAATGTCAGTGAGTATGAACACATTTTTTCATTATTTTTCTCTATCATTTTCCAGTTTCCTTTTTTAAAAAATGACGTCGCTTATCCACCTGCAGTTTCCATTTTTTTTTAAAGACTTCTATCTTTGAAAACAGAAAGACAGAAGAGAACTGTAAACGTCTTCATCTTCTTAAATATTATTTTCTATGTTAATACAATTTTTTTTTAATAAAATTGTCACATAACTTAAGCTGATAATATAGAATACTTATCCTAGCAACGGGTACTAACGACGACCATGTGTTATAAAACTCCGTTATCTCATTGAAAATCAAACAGATATCAGAATGAATAAATGAGAAATCAATGTTTTTTATTTTTCCACAGTAGAATTCGATGACATGATTTCACCACTGATTTAGATCTTAGTTTACCTTGTTGAGAACATATTCTTGATTAATAAGCAGCGTTATTCATACATTAGCTTGCAAATATGGAAAAGCTTATTTAGCCAGTAGATCAGATATACAAACCAACGTTTAAAGCAAATTATCCTTGTCAAAAAAAGAAACTTATTCATCAACTAACACGCCTGCCTCTTTCATTCCTTTTTTCAATTTACATTACCATTACTGGTACTTGAGGAATATTTCAATTCGTATGCAGTGCAAAATGGATCATTCTGGAACCGGAACAATGCACACTGCAATGAACCAATGACACCCATTCACCGCATTCCACCCCATGCTCTTATTCACATAATATAGCCGACACAAGAACAACAACAGATCTGAGATGCATCAAATGGGCACGTCAGCTTAAGTATTCATCATTACATTGCTTACTGCAGAAATGTACGACAAGTATGACGATGTTGTCAACAAGCCACGTCAGTCGTTTCACATACTCAGTAAAACAATGTGAAAATTGTCATGCATTTCTCGTTCAGTTTCCATGCAACATTTAGCAAACAGGATACTCATGCCAAATAAAGACGATGCTGTCAAACAGCACCAATTCGCACCAGTACAAAAAAATATATCACTCCAATGCTCTTATGATATCTACACTTGCTGTCGTGAAAGTGTGATGACCGCCAGATATCTTTTACTGTCGAGCTGATTTTGGAGTAGATTAACCCAGAGCAAATCTTATTAGATGAGGTACTATTGATGTGAGGGGATTTATGGAGGAGTTGTAAAAATACACGACGATCGGAGTCCTTAACCTTTATTGAAAACAGCAATTTAAGAACAGCAGCGGTATGTAGAAGCAATGAAGTTCAAAAAACGACAGTCCCTGACCCCCCTGGGGTTAGGCTTATATATCTTAGAGGATGGGCGTGGTTTACA